GTTGCAAATTCTTTTGTCTTCTGTGTGTGCATTTGCATGTGTGGTTCTGCATCACATGAGTAATCATAGCTGACTTGAGCATAAAACATCTACCCTGTTAGTGCTTTGCATACTAAAATGGTAACGTGCACACACTACTGGGCAGGTTGGTCATTGATGTGATATGCATAATGTTTGAGTGTTTTTAATTTATTTTAAGCATGACTTGTAGAGGTTTACCCTATAAAACCTTTTTTAGTTTGAATATTTTTCCGTGCAATCATGTAATATAAATTCTGTCATATTTTGGTATCTAAACCACAAACATGTCAGGCAGTGAGACTGCCCATGTGAGGAAGACTGTTAAAACTATTACAAGTTGTGTTTACACGATATGATAGTAAATTTGAAAGGAAGTACGTCGGAATGATTTTATTTTCAATTTTTTATCTTGTGCTGTTGAAAGTATTAAAATAAGCAAGCTTTATAGCCGTTTATAGAGTTTTAGCTCTCTCTGAAATTTGAGTATGAATAACTTCAAAAAGGTGGACTGGTATTCCTTTCTATGCCAGGTGCAGCTAAGAACATATTAACTTGTCATGAAATCTTTATTGTATTTAAATGTTATGTGTATGCTCTTGTTATCAAAACCAAAAGTGAATGCAGGTGTCCTGGTATTTTTATTTAAATAATGTTAGAAACTCTTAAACATTTTAAATGATTATAATTTCATTAAACAGGGTGAATTAAGCATTTCATATAATGATGTAGTATGAGATTGTACAATTTTTGTTTGTTTTTGCTAAGCCCTAGCCATGAAACAAAATAGATCAAACTGCATTAAAATTTCTTTTCAATTCACATATTTTAGATTAAAGCTAGGTTGTAGTTCAAAACAGATCATTCATGTTCTTTGATAATACTTATCTATTAACACCCTCTTAAAATTCATTTCAGCTGTTAGAAAACATAAATACAGTATGAAAGCGACTGTACATTCAAACCCCTTAGTAATAGAGGTGAGATTGTCTCGTAACAGGGGGAAGATTTGACGTACATCACATGTGGAGAATTTGGACAGTTGTTATAGCATAATATCCTGACTTGAACAGTGTGTTTTTCTAATAGTTTAACAACCCCTATTTTTAGTTAAATGATAGAATCATGAAAATCTTGACTTTTCTATCTACTATCTTGAAATGACACCAAATTGTAGGAGTGATCCAGTAACATCCATAGTGGAGAGAAAACCAAACAAGGATATCATCAGAACCACCTCATTTCAACTGTCAAGCATGGTGGCGGAGAAGTCATGATTTGGTCGTGTTTTGCTGCCACAGGAACCATGAAAATACAACAGCACAATGATCCCAAGCATAGCTGCAAATCTACAACATAATGACTGAAAATAAGGGTGAAAAAGTCAAGGTGTTGCAATAGTCCAGTGTAGTTTTGATTGAAATGCCTTTAAGAGAGATGTGCTTAAATGAATGCCAGCGAACCTCAATTAATTGAAGCAAAGTTATAAAGATTCAAGGCCAAAATTCTCAACAACGATGTGAGAGACTGAAGTCATAGAAAATGATTACTCTAAGTTACTGTTCAAAGGCAATCTGCAAACTACTGTGTCATGGGTGTACTTAGTTGTTTTTTTTTCTTAGTTTTTGTGCAATAAATAATGACAAAGTGTAATATGTTATATGTCATATGTTATGTGTTTTAATGGTAAATGTTCTATAGGGACATAATTGGACTTCTCCTAATCCTGTATTTCTATTTTGGTACCTGGTCATTATTACTACATGCATTGTGAATATCTCTCGATACAAAAATATAACAATAACAAATATGTAAATGTTATTTGACTGTGGTTCAATAAATGATTGCATATAAATAAACTGCCGTTATCTTATAGGTAGAATGGCCTTTAAAATTGCAATAACCCAGTTTCATCATTGTTTTTATAGCCCTCCATTTCATTCTCAACTGGTAGATGTAACGACACTGTGCAAACTCGTAATGTTGTGTTTCACATACAGTTCTGTCTTTTTTTAGCTACTGAGTGCTTCTGCTACTACCAAATACTGCTTCATTAGTCATGCTTTTTAAAGTATTTGTGTACTGTTTGTTCCCAGGGCAAGAACAATGGTATGCAGATGTTGGCTGTGAGGTTTCCTGTGTCAAGAAGACGCTTCTACGCTGGGACATGACTCTCTACCTCAGTCCACGTGGAGTCCACGCCATCTTTTCTACCTCTTAGGACAGCTGCTGTTGGTTTTTTTTTTCTGTTTTCTTCTTTCTTTCCTACCTCAGCACATACTTTATCAAACTTGTTATCAGCCAACAGACTTTCGTTTATGACCAGGCCTTCAAGTTTTAGTCACCCAGTCACGGTCTATCACAGTTGACTGGTTTTGTTCTTGCTTAGTAGCCACCTTCATCACAGCCTACCCCCTTCGACGGCAGGAGCAACCTGAAGGAGCCATGTCACATTGGAGTGTGTGATGTTGGAGCCCTGTGTAGGAGCAGCAAGAAAAAAACAGGGTTGGAGCTGCAGAGACATTCCTCAGTTTGTGGTTGGCTATGAAAATTATCAACGTGACATGGGCCAAATGGACGCAGGCATGAAGAACGAGATGTTTCGAGAAGAGGAAATGGACGATGATGATGAGTCGGTAAGTAGCAGGTGTACAATATTAATATAGTTACAATACACTTTTACAGTGGGCAAAGAAGATCTCATTTTATTACAGAACAGGAAGCTGCAGTGTTGGACATTTTTAGGCATGAGGAAGTGACAGGGCTGGAAACTTATAAAAGTTATGTTTGGAATTGGGTAATGGAAAAAGAAATGGAAACAAAAATACTCAAAGAATGGCATGAGAACAGTGTAGCAGATAAACAGTGGTAAGGCTTCTGGGCCTTAGTGTCCTGTTGCTATAAATGGACTATAAAGTACTGCTTCATTAGGAGCCGTAACCTTTGTCTCCGTCTTTGAGATTCACAACGTTAGCTTGGTTAATAGGATTGTGGCTGACACTATATTGTGTAGTAATCTTGTATCCAATATATTCACCATAAATGTGATTAAGTGTCCTTATCAGTAAAGCTTTTGTTTCTTTTCGTGTGATGTTTAATGCATTTGCAAAGCTGCAAGAACCATCATATTTTTCAGGTTTCAGAAAGGGTAATTACTGACTTAATGTTCTAATGGTCATCCTCGGTTGTTCTTCTCGCCCTGTGGGACTGTAGCGCTCATTACCCACAAGACGGGGTGTTGATGAAACTCCTATTTTAGGATCCTTATCAGATGAGGAAAAGTAATCCAAAGTTTGGCTCGAGGACAGAGTGTGCTGCAACTTAAACACCGCTCTGTCCCCTCTGCAGTGGTCCTCTTTATTATCACACTTGTAGCAGTGCTCTGAGCTGGACTTTGAACAGCTTCAGTTTGTGTTTTTTGCACTTTTCAAATATCATTTTCAGGGTTTCTTAGCCGCAGTACTAATTAACAACATAATCTACTCTTTGCCCCCCCAAAAAATCTATATTTAAATGTAATAAACAGTCAGAGGGAACTTTAGAAGCAACTGAAGGTGTCTTATTTCTCTGTCGGTCACTCTGAACCCTCACTGCTCACTCATCAAGTGAGCACAGAAGAAAGAGAGCTTGCACTGTGCTTCCAGTTGGAGAGGAAGATGTCATAAATCAGTACTGTCTATAGCTTAGACAGTAATTCTTTATTGTAAAGAATTAGAGAATTAGAATTACTAAAGCTTCAGCTCATCTGATTTTTAACAGTTACTGCTTTGAAGGAGAGAGATGTCATTTGGATGTTTAGTAAAATAAATAATAACCATAATTAAAATAAAAAATAAATAAATAAATGTGTACCCTAACAAATATCTCAATATTTAAATTATTAGGTTGATCTCTACACAACAGTGCAGATGGCTCAATGATTAGCATGCTAATGAGACATAAAAAGCTGTAGCTTAACTTAAATTTTCAGCTGCGCTGTGAACTGAAAGTTAGTGATAGTTCAGTTAATGCTGCCCACTACATGGCTTCACTGTACATACTTGTATAGTGCACATTTTCCTTTTTTGATAGTATTATTGTGGGTATTACCTTAAACTGCAGCTGTTTATTCCTGCTCTTACACTGCCCGGCCACTCAGACATGTTGTCTGGGTTAACTGACTCTTGTCATCTCTAGCTTAACCTTCTCTGCCCTCTTCCTTGCTCCACCAGCCGTCAGAGCGACAGATTGTGGTCGGCATATGCGCGATGACAAAGAAATCCAAATCCAAGCCCATGACTCAGATCTTGGAGCGCCTTTGTAAGTTTGACTACATTGATGTGGTCATTTTTCCTGAGGAGGTCATCCTGGAGGAGCCTGTGGAGAAATGGCCCCTCTGTGATTGCCTCATCTCCTTCCACTCCAAAGGTAAAAATTGCAAACCGAAGCATCTGTTGCATGAGGAGAAATGCGAAGGAAATGCGAAGGTGGGAGGGAGACATGACTGGGGGATATTAGGGTTGAAACCTTACCTGGTTTAAGTTAGATTTGAAACGCTATTTTTATTTCTTTACTTTTTGTGATTCATGTTTTCTTCTTCTTTCTTTTTTTTTTGTACCTAAACAAGATGAGATGCTTCTCACCACAGATCAGTTCATTAGTAAACACAGGAAAAAACTGTCCTTTGTGAAGAGATCATATAGCAAGTACAGTAAAATAGTGCAACAGTAATAATTAAAAGGACTTTCTCACCATTCTGACAGAGTTTGACTTGTGAGAAACAGTAAAGTAGATCCTGTATACTTCTCATTATTTTCTGTCACACATGTAATGTGACGGCGGCATTTTTCCCCAAGTTTTCAGACTTAGCATCTATGGTAAGACTTAGCATCAGACTCGCACTCATTTAGATCAAATGCTCTGCTTGATCTAAATGAGTGCAGATATCCTTAATGAGCAAATGAGAATGCATTATGAGGCCTGTGTTATTATTTTTGCAGATGTGTCTCCACTGCAGACTGTAAATACTTGTTTGTTAACCCATTTATTTTGACCACCTCACATGTATTGCCCAAAGTCATTTCTGCTCTTCCAGATTTTTGAAGAATTTCATCCCCTCACATGTTGATCACATCTTCAAAAAGCAGGTTGAACATGGCCCTGCTAAATTATACCAACTTCATAACACAGAAAGCAAAAACATCTTTATATATTTTTAAGTACTGAGGCCATTAAAGGACATAATTTTGCTCCTGGGTGTCAGAGGGTTTCCGTGATGACTGTTTAAAACTTCAACGAACTGTAAATGCTTTTAAACACTTCCTGATTAAAAATGCTCATTTCTGAATTGAAGTAAAAACATTTCCAACATTTGCATCTAGGAGATATTCAGTTTTGTTGATCTCTTATTTGAGGACTCATACACTGTTGTATATCCAGAGTTTTCAAAGCATAAAAAAATCTCGATTACTGTATTATTTTTAAATGCTGGTCCAGCTTGTACTGACGAAGATATGTTTTACTTTTTAGGTTTCCCTCTGGACAAAGCAGTGGAATATGCCAAACTCAGGAATCCACTGCTCATCAATGATCTCAACATGCAGTATTTCATTCAGGATAGGTACGTGTGAGCACACACGCACAGCTGAAGGTTATCACAATGTAAAAACGTAACTAGCTAGTTTTAAAATTAGGCCTCAACTGTGTGGCCGCCAGTGAGATGGTGGCAGCTGTGCCTAAAGGGTCCTCCTAAAATATCAGTTTAACTCTTAAAGTACATTTATCAGATGCTGTTGAATTTTCCAGAATGTATTTAAAAAAACAAACTCACTGTTTTGCTTGGAAGAGTTTTGATGTCAGTGAAGCTGAAGGGTGAGCTCATTCATTGGAGCGGCTTGCAGGAGAGATGGGAATCATTTTCAAACATTTGCATTGCTCTCTGCCACGGTCCTCATGCAAACCCCCACACCTCTAACACCGGCTTTTGCTTGCCAAAGGGAAATTCTAAATGTGAAATTCTTTCATGAATCTGATTTGTTTGCATCTTTGTTTTTGTTTTTTCCTGGATAATCAGAGCAGCGAGAGGTTGTGTGATGTGAACAACATTGCTATTTTCACATGTATTGCATGTTCCCTCCGACTTGCCCTGCTCTTGCATACATACACTGCTCATGGCCACATTAAATAAACTGTGACGTTTGTTCTCGGAGGCTCACTAACTCCAATCGTTCCATGTCAGGAGGGAAGTGTATCGGATCCTGCAGGAGGAGGGCATCGACCTGCCTCGTTACGCTGTGCTGAACCGAGACCCTGACAATCCTGAAGGTGGGCTTTTACTTTGTGTTAAAGAAGTATTTTCATTTCAACAGAATGAACACAAGATAACATGGTAAATCTTAAATGTGGTGATTTCTGCTACCAAATATCACATAGAAAACATCAGTAATCTAATTAACTGGCATCTTTAAGCAAAACTAATTTCATTCCATATGTTAAACATCAATGCTGTAGATTTTTCTGTATGTTTTAACTATTTCCTGGCAACCTGAATTTAAAAGCTTTAGTCTTGCCCTGTGCAGAGTGTAACCTGGTGGAGGGGGAGGACCAAGTTGAGGTGAATGGGGAGGTGTTCCATAAACCCTTTGTGGAGAAACCAGTGTGCGCAGAGGACCACAACGTCTACATCTATTACCCAACATCTGCCGGAGGAGGAAGCCAAAGACTCTTCAGAAAGGTACCCGTTTATCACTGAAGCTGAAAAAATACCATGTTTTTATTATGACAATTAGCTTAACATGCTGAACATTGAATGTGGCTATATGTTTATTTTGGGGGGGGGGTTTCTTCTTCTGTGTTTTTCTCTCTCTTTGCTGCAGATAGGGAGCCGTAGTAGTGTGTACTCCCCAGAAAGCAGTGTACGAAAGACTGGCTCTTATATCTACGAGGAGTTCATGCCGACAGATGGCACTGATGTAAAGGTACCGTTCATAGTTATTTGAGGTTTATACATTGTTGAACTGATGTGGTGGGAGCTACCATATTGGTCAAGAATAGACAAATGAAATATTTCATCTGCTCTGAGACGTCTTCTGAGTCGTTGGCTCTGTGCTGTTTCTTAGGTTTATACAGTGGGCCCGGACTATGCTCACGCTGAGGCCAGGAAGTCTCCAGCACTGGATGGGAAGGTAGAGAGGGACAGCGAGGGGAAGGAGATCCGCTACCCAGTCATGCTGACCGCCATGGAGAAACTGGTGGCCCGCAAGGTCTGCCTGGCATTTAAGGTAAAAGACTCGCACAAGCGCACCATGTGTGAATGTAGTGAGTGTTCACTGTGAGCCGTGTAACCGCCGTGGTCTCGTGGTCCCTTTCTTGTTATTTTTACTGCTTCCTGTGCCTCGAGTGGTCAAAGACTGTACACCTGTTTATGTAACCCTTGTAGAGTCTCCAGATGTGGGGAAAACGATGAGTGAAAGGTGAAACTACTTAGATTTGTTTTTTTTAAATAAATGAAAGGAACTAAAATCACTTTGAGTACACAGTGTAGTAACCAGCTGCTTTCTGCTGCTTACTCTTCTAACACCTACAATTCATCTTATACGACTCATAAATAGAAGAAACTCCTTCACTCTGAACAAAGTAAAACACATGACTGCAGCAGAAGGCAACAAAAAAATGTATTACTGCTAAGAAATTTAATGTTATTTGGAGAAATGTAGCATTTTGTTCCCGTAATGAAATCTTAAAACGGCTTCTCAGTTGCTCTATTTTCTATCCAGTGGAAAACAACACATACGCACATTCTTTATGTCCAATGTCACCAAATTAATTAAAATGAAAATCCTACTTCACCTGTTTAGTTGTTTGAATGTGTTTTCTGCTCAGCGGCTAACTACATTCTCATGCACTGTGAACCGGCTTTAATGCTTTTGCTTGTGTGATTATAGCAAACAGTGTGTGGGTTCGACCTGCTCAGAGCCAATGGCCATTCGTTTGTCTGTGACGTTAACGGCTTCAGCTTTGTCAAAAACTCCATGAAATACTACGACGACTGTGCCAAAGTCCTGGGGTAGGTGTCGCTGCTATACTGTGTTAAACACTGGACTGTGACTTAGATGGACATGCTCAATTTCAAACAGCCGTGGATTGATTAGCACAAGGAAGAGCTGATGGAATGAGCTTTGCTTCGCATTTAGTCATTTTGTTTGTTTTTCTGCTTTTCTCGACATCTCCAGGAATATGGTAATGAGGGAGTTAGCCCCCCAGCTCCACATCCCCTGGTCCATCCCCATGGAGGCTGAAGACATCCCCATCGTCCCAACAACCTCAGGAACCATGTATGTAGAGAAAAACAAAAGATTAACTAATTCTGAGGAAAGATGTTGTTGAACGGCCCACTGTGTGTACTACACGTCTTTGTCTTATAAATTCCTTAAATGATTTTTTTTTTTTAATTAAGGGACATGTTAAAATATTTTTGCACTTAAAAATATTTTTAAGTGCAAAAATAATGAAAACATAAATTAGTTTTTTATTTTATTTAATTAAAAAAATTTTGTTGCTTAGTACTACACGGGATAATAAGTTCCATTTTTCATTTCTCGTTTTAGCCTTCACTTAAAATTATTCCCAGATGGGATTATGCAAAATCCTCAAAGGATTCCCAGAATAATTCTTAAGGGAAAAAAAGTAGTTATGGGAAAATGACACAACACATTAACAGATGGTTGCTTGGGTCCACTGAGATCCCAAACTCAGTTTAGCGTCTGTTTGAAGTCTCTGGTGTGTTTTGCCTCATTTTTGTATTTCTTCAGGATGGAGCTGCGCTGTGTTATCGCCATTATCCGACACGGAGACCGCACCCCAAAGCAAAAGATGAAAATGGAAGTCCGCCATCCTCTGTGAGTCGCTCAGACTAAGCCTTGAGTTGTCTTCCTTCTTCCCTGTTCATACAACTTAATGCTTAGTTTTGTTTTTTTAAAGTACAAAAATTTATAATAAAGTTCTGTATATGTGGAAAAATAAACAAGACAAGGGAAAACATTTGTGTACTGGATATATTCCCCATCCCATAATTTACTCATGAGCGTGTCCATATATACATAATTTAACATGAAAAAAGTAAACCTTGTGTTGTTAAGAGATAACAGATACAGCTCACTGTCATGAGTAAATTATAGTATAGAAACATCTATTTACAGGATTTACAAGAAGCATAATTTATTAACGGGACTGTGGAAACAATTAGATTTATTTTCCACAGAATGAAATTAACACATTTAGAGGATGACATTTGATGACCTTCCCCCTCCTGTACCCATAATGAGTTTTGACATGTCAGTAGATATTAATATAGATATGGTTTGATGATTAGTCAGAGTAGTTTCTAGGTTTCTCCGTGTGTGGCTGCATAGGCAGAGACCAGCTTATGATGCTCACTCAGTCATTTTGTTTTATAAGTCTGAAAGACTTCCCGAAGCATTTCTCTGATTAGACTTTCAAGGAGTAATATAGAAGAGAACAGATGGTAACAACAAGTTTATAAGCTACCTCACAGACTTAATGCTCACTCACGGCTTTGAATTGGGCAGCCACTGTTGAATGTTGCTGTGCATTTTATTTCAAGAACTTCCCCTCAGAAACTTTAACTCTGGGTCAATGATGGCAGTGTCTGCTGTCTGCAAACCTCCTGGTTGTCTGCTTTTCTGTTTGTGCCTGCGTGGGTTTCCTCAGGCCGCTCCGTCTAGAGTGCGTGCGTGCATGCGTGCACTCGTCACTCTGTTGGCCCAATGATGGACTGGTGACCTGTCCACTGTATAAATAGAATGGGCTCCAGCTCTTTGCGAACTTTTGTTGGATAAACATTTAACATAAATGTTTTGTTTTTTAATTATTTTCTGATTTTTTTTTCCTCTGCTTATCCTTCACCAGATTCTTTGAACTGTTTGAAAAGTACGGAGGATATAAAACAGGAAAGCTAAAACTCAAAAAACCAAAGCAGCTGCAGGTGAGAGACAACACTAATAATCTCCTGCTTCTTTTTTCCCAGGCTGTCTCTTATTTGCATATTTGTTTTTCTTTTGTTTGTTTGTTTGTTTTGACTGATTATGACTGAATCCTTTAAGAATAATAAAGTACTGTTAAACATTCCCACATATTAAGCGTTATCATCATCATGGACCACAAACCTTCATTGTCTTGTCTAAATATTTACACTCCGCTGTCTAAATCCCGTCTTGCACACTGCGTTCATGCCATCACTGCGTGCAGCTCAAGCTCCAATATTTCACCAGCACTCGAGTTTAAAGGTAAAAACCTCTGTGCTTCCAGGAAGTGCTGGACATCGCTCGCCTGCTCCTGGTCGAACTGGGTCAGCATACTGACTGTGAGATTGAGGAGAAGAAGTCCAAACTGGAGCAGCTTAAGACTGTTCTGGAAATGTGAGTGACATTTCACCTGGAAAACAAACACACACACATATCATCACTCATCACCCTCCTGTCATCTCAGTCATCAGCAGATCAGCAGACTTTCTCATACTCACAAACAGACACCTTTACCATGAAGACGCTCCCTCCCTCTTGGCTTGTCTTTAACTGCGTTATCTTTTCTTCCCTCCTCTATCTCTCTTTCCCACCCACCCATCCTTCCCTTCTTCATCCATCTGTTCTCTCAAAAGGGAATCCAGCTTGAATGACAATCAGTACGCACCCTCTCCCTTCTCACTTGTAAAGGATGAGGTTTTACTGGCCTCCTTTTCTTTAGCCAACCTAGACTGTGTGTACAAAATATTAGAAATATTACAGATCTTTTTATGTTTCAGGCAGACCAAAACTCTGTGAAACTTTTTTTCCCTCAGATTTCACTGATTAAAAAATAAAGGAAGCAGAAGATGGATTAGTTATTGCATTTTAAGATTAGGCATTTGGAAGATATTTCTAATGTTTTGTACACTAACTGTCGACTTAATTTCCATTAAAATTCATTCATTTGTAGCTATTAACGTCAGACACATACACAGTCAAATGTCTCTGATTATTTCACTGTGTTTCTGTGTTTGTAAATCAGCGTGTGTCTGTGTGTGGTGCTACTTCGTGTGCATGCTTTCCTCACCACCTATCAGCTACACTCTAAACCTCCTAATGTCTTCCTTCCTCCCGCCTCAGATCTGCATTCTGGTAATTTGATGGCACTGTACTCTGCACAGGAGCACATTAAAAATCATTAGAAAGACGGGGACGGTCAAATTTACAAGAAAAGCACCGTTCAAACTACTGGCTGTTTAAACGCAGTGACATCACCATTTTTAAGCCTCAGTGGTAACATTTTGCCTGACGCTATGTTTGTTTTTTGAAGCCAGAGGTTTACCACATTTGGATGAGAGGGTGAAGTACTCAGTTATCCAATAACACTAGCTAGCATGATTGGCAAGCTGCATTCATAAACTGTGCAAGTGCAATGCAAAGATGCACACATGTGCAAATTAGTTTTTAGTAACAGTCTAATAAAATGCTAGAATTTCACTCAAGAAGACTGGAGCACAGTCTTAGACAGACAGTACCACACAGCAGGGTTTATCATTTTTCAGATGATTCCATTAAAAGCGCTCCAGAAAGCACCACCGACGCTAAGACGGCAGGGCGGTCCATTAGTCTCTAATTAGTTTAGCTGAGACTTGGTAGACACCGGTCGACTACAGCCTTACACGTCGGCACATTTGCCAGTTAAAGCAGCCACACCCATGTTTCCAGTAACAAGGTTGTTTTAAAGAAATTTATCAACTGTAGAGTTGTTAGAAAATCTGTTGTGACGATTCTGAGGCCAGGACTATAGTGTTTTCTGGCAGGCTGTGAAGCTGTGCATTTTATGTCAACTAATTTTACACCTTGATGTAAGTGGGCCAGACCAGCACCCTTTTCTGCTGGTGTAAGGAAGATTAACTACACATTTAATTCGTTAGGCATTTAATTATAAGAACAAGAAGTGCAGTCTCAACAATACGTTTTAGTTCTTCTACAGGATAAAGACATCTATCAGCACTCTTTGGGCTTGGACTGTTTGGACTGAAAGAAATGAATGTGGAGGATTAAATGTCTCTTAGTTCATTTGCCCAAACTGTCCTGTTTTTGTTAATAGACAGAAAATGTCCTGGTTTTTTTTTTTTTTTTTTTTTTGTTTGCTTTTTTTTTGGGGGGGGGCTTTCTCTCAGTTAATTGTTTATCTATTAATTACTTACTTATTTACTTTGGCGCCGTGTGAATGGCCGTAGAGGAGGTCTTTTACGGCTTTTTTACTACCGGTAATGAGGTTATAAAAACGCGGTTAAAACTCCAAATTTTATACTCTCCTTTTTCCATCCACTGGGCCAGACTGGAACCTTTGATGGGCCGATTCTGGTCTCCAGACCTTATGTTTGACACCCCTGTACTAGAGGAACTGCAGTTTTTGACTCTTGATGAATAAATATAAAATTAAACTGTCAGTGAAGTAGAGAGGAAAGCCAGCTCATGTACAGTGATCAAGCGTTGCATAGCAAGGCCCTTAAGTCTGAAGGGCATCTATATGCGTGCTGTGAGCTTATGCAGTAGTGTAAGCTATCCTGCTTTTTCAATCTAAAAAAGCTATAAACAGTGATCATGTTGCTTCCATTAAGACACAGAGCTAGGGAGCTGGCCACTTTAAAATCATGTGGAGCTACGCAGATGAGACCAAACCACATTTCCACATTTCCACATTTCTATAAGCGTCTGCACCTGCTTTCCCTTATTTCCTCCCTTATTATTTATAGACTTTGTTGCATCCTCCAATACTGCATTGTAATCCAATAAGCCCCACCTGTCTGATTGTTCTGGGTGGTCCTTTTGCTCCTGCTCACATTCTCATGTGCTTACACACAGATACGCAATTACAAAGAACTGCAGTCACTTTACCTCCAAAGTGACTGAAACAACTGCTAATAGTAGTGCTTACTGTAGCAGAGTGTATGATCGTTGTGTCATTGAAAGTTGTTGCCTTGGTCTTATCTCTCTTAAGCTCGCCTTGTCATAAACATGGAATGAAAGTCAGACGTGTGTTTGCTGCTAAACATTTGGACGAAACTCGTGGATTTGAGATGAAATCTATTCGATTGTCTCACTGCGTACATATGAAACTTTGTTGTGTTTGCTTGATGGTGTGTGTGTTCATCCCCCCCACCAGGTATGGTCATTTCTCAGGTATCAACAGGAAAGTCCAGCTCACCTACCTGCGGAATGGCAAACCTAAAGCATCCAGTGAGGAAGAAGGTATCGTACTCGGACACCGATTGTTGTGTGTGCTGGGTCACAGAGATAAATTATATGTAAACGAATACACACGGATGGTGATTGGAAGTGAATGTCAGTGTAATCAGTCATCAGTTAGTAACTGTGTTTTGGAGCCTCGCCTTCAGTGTTTTGGTTGCACCTCACCACGGACAACATTATTTGTCAGTATGGCTACAGAAAAAAGAGTTTTGATTATTTATATAAAGAAAAATCAAATGTTAAACTTTCTGCTTCTTGTTTCAGATTCTAAGAAGGATGGCCCATCTCTGCTGCTGGTGTTGAAGTGGGGTGGGGAGCTGACGCCTGCAGGCCGGGTTCAGGCTGAGGAGCTGGGCAGGGCTTTTCGCTGCATGTACCCCGGAGGTCAAGGTACCAGCCAGACACATGCTCTAGCCTATAAGATGTAGTTACAACGGCTCTCACGCCTTCTGCTCTGGTGTCATTTTTCAGTCCTCCTTTGTAATTTCTAATAACGGCACCGTTTGCAGTGCCAACACATGATAGGAGTCATACATGCACTGTGTGAAAAGAGGTCAGGCTGAAACGGCTATGTTAGAGTTGACAAGCCAGATTTTCAGGCTTCCAGCTGCCGCTGCAGTCTTTTTATCCCACTCATTGTCATTTGTGGCTGTGATGTTGTAGAAAGATTGCTGACTCACTGTTGCCAAGAGCAGGAACTTTAAAGTGTTACTCAACAACAGTTATATACAATATTATTATAGTGTGGGACATCTTAGATTGTAGCAATAAAAATAAAAAACATTAGAAAGGCTACTCGTAGCAAATCTCTTAAGTTTACTGAAAAGTGAACTGAGGAGTTGCATGCACAGCATCTGTAAATAAAAATTACTGATGCCTAAAGTAATGATGGACTGCACATTTTTCTTCTTGGCGCAGCCCCTTAGCTCATCTGCTGTCTGAAACAAACTGTTTCAGGTGGCAGTAAACTTTAAGTAAACTTTGCTGTGATTGGCCTGGACTTGCAAAGAAAAAGGTGTAAACAATGGGGGGGGGCTTCTTTGCTCACAGTTAAAGCTGTCCCAAAGACAATCAAATTAAAAATTTCACTGTTGTCAATATCGTACAGAGCAAACACCGGAAAATGTTTGGCCAGGTTTAGTATGAACAGCCAGTGCTGTAACAGTGAGACAGAAGACAAGGAAAACAATGATAGGGATGAAGGACTTTGGTGACCTAGTTACACTGTTTATATATAAAAAGATTAATTCATTTCTTTTAAATGGAACAAGCATTTTAAGTTTAAAGAAATTGCAGTTAATTGGTAGTAAAATAATCTTTAGTTTCAGGTGGAAAAATTAATGAGACTAATCTTGCCACTTCAGTACAATCACTCATGTCTTGCAGACACCTTCTGAGGACATTAAGTCACATTTTTACCTCAAGGCTTTAAAACTGTTCGAACAAACTGCTGCTCCATAACAGAGTGAACTCTCTCTGTTGAAGATCACGTGGTCTGCACCACAATAAGCAGGAATTATGACCTGGATTTAAGAGTATACTGTCAACACCGGCTTAAACAGTCTGATGTGAAAGGTTGTTGAGATTAAACAAAGATGCTGAGCTGCAACTCTAGTGAAGGCTAACAGTATCAGGACAGAGGACCTAAACAGAAATGCAGTCAGTGGATGATTTATTAGGTACACATGTAAAATCTAAGCCAATACAGTCATCTGAGCTATAAAATTCATTATTACACTCGTAATAATAACTACTTCTTACTGACACACTCAGAGAGGTATTAATTTGGCTCTATTCATTCCTATAGTGTTGTAGATTCAATTATACTGATTTGTCCCACTCTAATAAAATTCAATAAAGATATAACTTTAATAAAGAAATAATTCATGTAAGACTGCTGTAACCTTACATCGTAGCCATTGTGCTGGATTGAAGTGTAGCCTCAACTATGGGGGGGGGGGAAGAACTGCTTGCACATTTTTTTTAAAAAGTACTGATTTAAATTCATGACATTCAATATTTTTTTTTCTATTTTTTTTTAAAAACCGTAACAGTACCTAAGCTGAAAATGCTGCTCGCACTGCCACCTAGAGGCTGTACCAAGTTGTCCTGCAGTTAGGTGTGGCCTCATCTGAGAACACCCAAAATGGGTTTTGTTCAAAGTGTTTTAAAACAGAAAAGCAGCTTTAATTTTTCTCTGTTCAGATTGAGCAGTAAGAAGTCAGCTGCAGGCTTTTCTTGACGTTATTTCCTGTAGGGTCTTACAATTAACAATAGTGCCATTTAGTCATCACCTGTCCTACCTAAAGGTTTGTTTTGTGCTGCATGCAAAACTCAAACTATAAAGAAAACCAACCTGAAGCAGAACTAAAAGTAGACCTTGTGTTGCTTCTTTTTTATCTATAAAAAGAAGACAATTGTCTCATCCCAGCCACTGTTTTCAATCCTTTCTTTCTCTCCACCACAAGTTTTGTCGATTAACTCTGCTCTTCTCTGTTGTTGTTGCTCTATGTAAACTACTAGCCGGTAATCGCCGGTCCCTTGGCTGCGATTCCCCTATTGACTTTGGTAAGAGAAGGGTTTCCTGGATATCACCGCTCTTCCGCTCCTCTGTCATTCTGAGCGTTTGTCGCTCCGTCCACTAACGTGGTCTGCTCTCTCCTCATATCATCATGATTTTGGTTAATTTCACATGGCGACTAGTCCTGTTTTGTATCAGATTGCTGTGGACTGCTTTATTTTGTGTCGATGTGTTTCCAAGATGATCCTCCAATGTAGACACTGTTTAGGTCACTTGCCCGTACATATGCGGGCAGCTAAAGTGACTGGAGCTTTTCTTTTTCAAAGCTAACGCGCATCATCTCACACTAATCCTACTGCATTTTTTTTCACGAGTTGTTGAGATGTTGTTTGATAAAAATCTATTTTGGCCTGTGTTAAGCTTTAAACAGGGATATGTCTTCATCACGTCCCAGATTTGCTGATCTCTGTCAAATGAGGCATGGCGATGCAGTGTCAGGCTACCTGCAGAAGAGAAATGCATGAAGCATCAGTGTGATTTGATCTGTAGCGTTAGTTTGCATCCACCCCCTACATTAACATGGCATACTGGGAATGTTAAAAGACTTGGTCTGTTTTCAAAGAGAGGTAATCTAGGATATTTAATCTCATCTGCAGGGGAGTTATTGTCACAAATTTTGGGGAGACTACTAAAACTTCAGTTCACTTCACTTTCACTTCATTTTATATTCAGCTTAAACAACAACATTTAAGTTCACATTTAAGTGAAACGAACCCTATTAAAATCTGACAAGCCGATGCATTTGAACTGAAAGTGATGTTGCACTCGCACATGTGCTGTACTGGCCCGTTGTGCAATATTTGATGGAAATCTTTGCTACTATTGGGTACAATCAAAACTAAAATTTGTTTTTCTCTATTCTTTCAACTACCTCACCGACTCAGTCGTTTCTTTAAAAAAGAAAAGGAAAGGGAAAAAGTGTGTTGTACTGTACATCTGAGTGCTGTAATCATGCCAGTTAACTGTGGCGCTCCACTCTGTGTTCAATTCTACAGGTGACTATGCCGGGTTTCCTGGCTGTGGCCTCCTGCGCCTGCACAGCACTTACCGCCATGACCTGAAGATCTACGCCTCTGACGAAGGAAGAGTGCAGATGACGGCTGCTGCTTTTGCCAAGGTAACTATGTCACTGTATTGGAAGACTAAACTCTTCATATAAATGTTACTTTAGTACTTAAGCGATTCTGATGGAGCTTGAGGAGAGCATTTAAAGCAGCTTTGCATGAACAAGACCCACTTGTTTGCCATAAATTGGAGCCGCTTGGCTTGCTTTCCTGGCCAGTGTGGAATTTATGTTCCCACTGCTCAATATTAAACACAGAAGTGTGATGGCTGTAAAACGGCTAACTGATCATCTGCAGAGGAATGGTCTGTTTGAAGAGTTTGAGACAGGTTGAGAATTTATCCCAAAAATAGAAACGACATTAGTTAGGGGTGATGGTGGCTCAAGAGTTGGGAGTTCGCCTTGTAATCGGAAGGTTGCTGGTTCGAGCCCCGGCTTGGACAGTCTCGGTCGTTGTGTCCTTGGGCAAGACGCTTCACCCGTTGCCTACTGGTGGTGGTCAGAGGGCCCGGTGGTGCCAGTGTCCGGCAGCCTCGCCTCTGTCAGTGCGCCCCAGGGTGGCTGTGGCTACAATGTAGCTTGCCGTCACCAGTGTGTGAATGTGTGTGTGAATGGGTGGATGACTGGTTGTGTAAAGCGCTTTGGGGTCCTTGGGGACTAGTAAAGCGCTATATAAATACAGGCCATTTACCATTTAGTTAAGGTTATGAATGACAAGACAAGCGTAGTGATGAGAATGGACTCATCTACCTTGTTTGCTTCGGGTTACTCGTCACGACTCAACCCTCACATATTTATGTAATTTTTTAACCATTTCAAATCTGATGCATGTCTGCAGGGTCTTCTGGCTCTAGAAGGGGAGCTCACGCCCATCCTGGTTCAAATGGTAAAGAGTGCCAACATGAACGGACTGCTGGACAGTGACAGCGATTCTCTGACTGACTGCCAGCAGAAAGTGAAAGCCAGGCTGCACGAGATCATGCAAAAGGACCAGGACTTTACAGAGCAGGACTACCAAAAGGTGTTGTCACACATGGAATTGCTCAGTTAGTGATAAGCTGTATGGTGCAATTTCTTGTTTGCAAGTAAAGTCTCCAGTTAGTTTAAACAGTTAAATGTGCCTCTTAATCCAGATAAGATTTGGATTATCCAAAGAATTTTGCAACTGCTCATACATATATTGACCGTCTTTTCTGGCATAATCTCATGCGTGGTGTTTGGCAGAACATGTTATCTATTTACTTCTGCTTCTATCGTGTCCCAGTTGGCTCCGACTGGCAGTCCGTCACTGGTGAACTCCATGAAGGTCATAGAGAATCCAGTCAAAACCTGTGACAAGGTGTATGCCCTCATCCAGAGCCTTACATCGCAGATCCGAAAGAGACTGGAGGACCCCAAGTCTGCAGGTACTGAGAACCTGCAGAAAGGCTGGCTTTTAAAATGTTTTACTGTCTTTAAACCCTCAGTATTTATTTTAGTCATCAGGTGTTATGTATGAATAAGACTGATGCAGAAAAGCTTGTAACTGTAGTGTATATATGGAGTTCAAAATTGATCCACCCCTCATTTCTTTATGTTCTGGTAGGAAAATTGGAACCATGTGGAGTTATTTATTGAAACATGAGGTTAGCCAGCTTTCTTGTCATTTCTTTAAGAAGTCTTCAGGAATAGTTCTCCAGGCTTCTTCAAGGACATTCAAAGCTCTTTTTTGGATGTTGGCTGCTTTTTGTTCTGTTCTCTGATAAGATGATCCCGCCCTGCTCAATAGTGTGTTTTTGTTTTTTGTTTTTTTCTATCCAGTTATGCTTCTTACACTGCCTTCTTACATCGGCAGTGTGATTCCCATGGTTTCATGCTGAAAAGTGAAGCCGTTGCAAATAAAATGCTTTCCGTGTGGTTTTGCATTAATCAAAATCTGAGGGTGTTTTTTCTGTATTCATGATTTCAACAAGATCTCTGACACCAGTGCCTGAAATCCAGAGCCATGACAGAGCCTCCACCCTGTTGTACAGGTGGCTGTAGAATGTCAATGTCCCAAGAAGAAATGTGTGAAAACCTTCAGAAAGCTGGAGAATTCATATTCAAGAACCTTTTTAAAAATCTTTTATAGTTAGGGTTTTTTTTACGACAATGATAAAATTAGTCGCTGTATTTTTAATTCTTTTTTTCTCCAGACCTACAGCTTTACCACAGCGAGACGTTGGAGTTGATGCTACAGCGCTGGTCTAAGCTGGAGAGAGACTTCCGCATGAAGAATGGTCGCTACGACATCAGCAAGATCCCAGATATCTACGACTGCATCAAATATGACCTTCAGCATAATGCCTCTCTTGACCTGGAGGACACGCGGGAACTTTTCAGACTGTCCCGTGCTCTGGCTGATATAGTCATACCACAGGTAAATCACATCAGTGTCTTTAATTGCATTTTTTCCAAGTGCTGCCCAGCACTTATTTTTAAATTTTGCACAAATTTGGCATTAGTAATGAGTGATGTAGCAACATTATTCCAATGGCGCATTTAAAATGTCATGCTTTAGTCAGAAAACCTTACCAGCGAGAGCAAGGTTCAAATCAACCCTCTATTCATTAACATGTCTTCTGAATTAAAGTGACTTGTCACAAATAACATGCAAAAACATGCTATTTTAATGGATTGCCCTCTTGTTCATTGACATCAGGAGTATGGCATCAACAGAGCAGAGAAATTGGACATCGCCCAGGCTTATTGTGTTCCCCTGATGAAGAAAATCCAACTGGACCTGCAAAGGACCCATGAGGACGAGGCTGTCAACAAGTTGCACCCTCTGTGAGAATGCAGAACACCACTGAAACAAACATGTTTATAAGCCACATGCATACATGTATTAACAAGTATTACAGGTGTTGTGTTACTCACTTGTGTCTCTTCCTCCGCCCTGCTGTTCAGGTATTCTCGGGGTGTCATGTCTCCTGGGCGTCACGTCCGCACACGCCTCTACTTCACGAGTGAGAGCCACGTTCACTCCCTGCTCAGCATCTTCCGCTACGGAGGCCTGCTGAATGTATGCAGTGGTTTTGTCACCTTTGACTTTTTGATTTTCTGCAGGTGTGCATGTGCACATTCAGAGGGCGAATTGCCAGAACAGAGCTTTTGTAGCGTTGCACTTATTGCAGAGGGTATTCCTTCCAAGACAGAAGGCTTTTTGAAGATGACTTCAGTGACTTGTTCTAATAAAACTAAGCTGAACTGTAGTTCTAAGTTAATAGAACGCTTATGTCTAAATTGGACTGTAGAACTGATGTTTACCTTGCCCTTGCATGAATTTTCACAGATCTGTGGTGTTTCACTCATTGGCTTTAATTTTACATCTGCTTGTCTTTGCACATCAGGAGGAGAAGGACCAGCAGTGGAAGCAAGCAATGGACTACCTGAGCGCTGTGACTGAACTCAACTATATGACACAGATAGTCATCATGCTGTACGAAGACAACAACAAGGTGGGCAGGATGAAATGAAACACATACCTCCTCCTCCAAACTGCAGCTTCCTTTGCAGGATTGCAGGCTCCTTTACGCAGCCTCCTTTGTATATTTGTGTCTGTGTGCTGAGCAGGACCCCTCCTCAGAGGAGCGCTTCCATGTGGAGCTTCACTTCAGTCCAGGAGTAAAAGGATGTGAAGATGAAGAGACTATTCCTCTTGGATTCGGCTTCCGGCCGGCCTCCTCAGAGGTGTGTGACCATACCGCACTCATATTGCTGGTTGAAAATTGTCTAAAAATGTGAAAAATTTCAGTTTCAAACCAGACAAGAGGCCATTTAAGGTTTTAAAAAATAAAAATCTCCCTTGTAGTTGTGTGTCAACATCAGGTGTGTTTTGTTGATCAGAGATGTCAGTCACTTCTTTCTTCTCTGACCAATTAGAATGAAGACAAGAAGCCTAATCAGGGCAGTCTGGAGGACCTTTCTCAGGATGAGCCGGACCAGGCACTTCAAGTCTCTGATCCAATCAACATTCAGCGAAGGTCTCCCATGATTCGGAACCGCAAGACTGGCTCCATGGAGGTACCACACTGCCAGAGTTCAGTGTTAAAATGACAAAATGCGGTCTGGGTGTGAACTAGCTCTTCTGACACTTTTGCCTGTCATTTTAAAAGTGCGATGATGCTCTAGAAGCAACCATTAAACATCAGGTCCCTGAATAATATGTTGAGGATATCAGTATTAATCCCTGGTCTCTTTGGCCCCACTCAGGTCCTCTCTGAAACCTCCCCCACTCATTCCGCTAAAGGCTGCACATCCCATCGACTCTTCATATCCTGCTCACGCCAGTCTCCTGAGATCAAACCAGCCAGTGGCTTAGGTAGGGATCTAATTTTTGGAGCAAGTGTGGGAGAATGTGTGTTTTCGCTGTGTTCATATCTGCGTTCATGGCCTCACCGCTCATTCATTTCCAGCCGTCATCACTGCGCCTCCTCTTCATCACGAGCTGCAGCTGTGACTTTTTTACCCCCCTCACCCTCCCACTTTTCCATTTCACTTTCAGTCTGTCCCTCGTTTCTTTCACATAGCGTCCACCCCAGCTTAGTTTAGCTTAGCGGCAGCCGAACAGGATCAGAATCCAAACTATGCTGGCCAGAGGTCAGCGGGGAAGAGTCATGTTCACAGCCAACTGCAGGATCACTGCGTCATATGGTGATCAAAGACGTGTTCCTCTCCTCTCTAGGTGATAAGGTGACAACACGGTGAACATGCTAATACCTTCATAGTCAAACAAAACCCGACTCTCTAGTTACTAATGTTTGCCTTTTCTTTGTTTAATGTCACTATAACTGATATTGACTTGACTAACATAAACTAATATAATTAGTAAAGATTATTAATATTGTCATATAGTGACTTGGAGACTCAGAGACTCAATAACTCAAATCCCTGCTCCAAATAATGAGGTCAGCATATGTGCTGATAATCCAAAGTTCAGGTGTTTGTGAATAGCAGCCAATCAGAAGAAGCCTGGCTGAAAGGGAAGGAGAAGGGAGCAAAAAACAAAACAAAAACTAAACTAAACCAAAACCTTTTTGCTTAAAACAGTGGATGAACTGAGGAGCTGGACCGAGGACCAGTATAAGATAAATTATTATTTTTAACAGTGAATTATACAAAGCATCTCTAGTAGAGGCCAAGAATAAAAATACCGGTGACCACCAGTTCTACCCCTCAGCCTCCTGGTAGACACAGCTGTAGTATTTATTTCAAAATCCTACGGCGATGCCTGCCCAGCAGGATTAAGCCAAACCCCATCCGCCGAACGCAGCTGTGGGGTAAAAAGGTTGGAACTGAGCATACAGTAACAGGTCACCTTTGAGTATACACCTTTTCTCAACTATTCACGAGACCAGTTTGCTGCATTTATTTTTTTGGATGAAGTTTGATTTTTTTTTTTCCTTCAAATCTTCACATGTGAATAATCAGATCTGACCAATGCATTTAGCTGCATTTGACAAATGTGTGCTCGAAGTTCAAAACTCAAGACAGTATTGAATTATACAAATTTCCTGTGCTGTTGCCTTGTTGTGAGAAATGGATGAATCCACAATCTCAATTTCTTCCTTTTCTCACCAAGTTGGCATCCCCAAAAATTTGTAACTGAATTTCATGTTGTTGTTTTTTTACAATGCGCTCGGTGCGTAAAGGCCTTAATTGTGCAACATTAGCATCAAAAGATGTCAGAACAGAAGAAGTGTTATTATATTGCCAGAAACTGAATTTGCTGTGAGCTCACACAGTTGAAACAAATACAGATGATAATATTACAAGTATTTGACATGTTGCGCTGTTGTAACCACTCCAGATATCAGGTTGTCCTGCTAAAGAATACATCTGTGATTTAAAAGAAAAGCGTCTTCATTAACATTAGTTGTCCCTATATAAATAAGTTACATGTTCCTCCTTCAACTAGAGAAAACTGCCCTCACAAATTCTTAAAAATCTACTCTAAATATTATTAGTCTTATAACAAAACATTTTTGGTCCCATACATAAAGTAAGATATCAGTGTAGGTCCCTTTGACCTCTTTAAATTGTTCCAAATCAGACCACTCTGGGTCCATGAATGTAGTTTAACCTCAGCCTAAATAAAGGGACTTTTGAAGGACATGCAACATCCAACAACCTGCTAACATGGTGACACTTACAAGCATGACATGCTTCCATCTAAATAAAGACGTGTGGAGAAAACCATAAAACCAACAATGTGAGCAGAGAGTGGAGTCGTGGTGTGGAAAAAAACAAGAGATCGAAAGCTTTCAAAGACTAGCGTACATCAACCTGCGTCACTTCTTACTGCTGGATATCACCAGGGAATGAGTGATGGTCCTTTAAAAATCCTTATTGTTTTAAATGTCACATCGCTACAGTAGGTTAACGTGCCCCTTTCTGTATAATGCACCGATCGTCGTGCTGCTCGGTGCTTAATTATCACGTTTGAAAGCAGTAGTTGGCTTTATGTCCACGTTACACTAATGTTTTAAACCCTCTCTGAGTGGAGCCATTCAGTTTGTTGTGTGCTGCGTTGCTGAGGTCACAGTTCTCCATCAGCACACTGACGCTCCGTTAACACAACGCTTAGTTGGTGTTTCAAATATTTAAATAAAATATTCATTTAAAGTCTTTGGACATTGACTTTGTCCTACGAATATGAGGATTAGTTTGTTTTATTCGTGTACAGCAAGTCTAAAACTCGTTTCCACTCTCGGCCTGCTTGATATGCTATTGTGACGTATAGGAAACCCACATGTTCTGTGCATGTGCACACATCACTCACACAAGGGTCTTACACACTGAGTCACTGTTCTGAAAAACCTTAAAGCTTGCGTGTCATCTAGGTATTTTCCTTCTATTATAAACTTTATCAAATCTATATAATAAATATCTGTTTGCAGGGTGTTCATACAGGTAAACTCATTTTTCCCAAAGCACAAACACACTCTTGGGCCACACCATTTAGTGTGTAATTAAAAAAAATTCTCACCCTTCACATGTCCACTTCACCCATCCCTTCACCTCTTCCCCCCCCGCACTCCCACGGCTCCTCCACACAGGCTCGCTCTGCTCTGGCCTCTTCAGTGCCTCAGCCCTCGGGGTGTCCTGTAGCGCCCCCAACCTTCGGGACTACGTCCGCACACACCACCGTCACCACCACCCGAAGCCTCCTCTGTCCCCCGGCAGTTTGCCGTGCAAGAGTGGCATGTTTGGTACGTTCACCACGCTCTCTGTCCTCTCGCATGGAGCTGGTCTTTTCATCTGTATCCATTTGAAAAGCTTTTTTTTTTCCTGGCTTTGAGAAGTCTTGTTTTTTTTTCTTTCCTACTTTGTGTTTTTTGCTCCTAAATTCATCTTATTGATTTTTGGGGACATTTTTTTTTCCCCTTCAGATCAAAACAAATCAGCAGCTGCAATATATTGCATCGTTTCTCCTAATGATTTTTGCCCCGCAAGAATGGGCAGCAAGGGCACTGATTTGACAGCAGAGGGATTGGCTGTGTAGTAAATGCTGAGCATGCAGGCTGGAATACAATTAATACTTTTCCACATCAACTTGACCGCTAACCGATCAACCCGCTCTCCTCTCGGACTCAAGTGTTTTGTCTCTCTGTGCATGTTGTGTTAACATATCCTCTTTATTTCACAATCCTTCGTAAAGTGAAGTAGTGTGTCTGTAAGCCAAAAGCCTGGCTTTTTATTTTTTCATATTAATCACAATTTACGGTAATCCTTACATTAAGAAACTCAGCCTGTTATTTGGAACAGATATAAGACCCAGTAATCCACCTTAAAATAATCCCTTTTCCCTGAGTCTGGTAATGGCGGTAATGGTAAGTGAAAGAAAGCTGTTTCCACAGCCACCAGGGGTCCTTGCAACAGGTTTAATTACCACAAACATCTGGAGTGGATAGATTTCTCATGGTTGCAGCTGGTTAATCGCACAAATTTGCTTAGTGCGTCCCGAATATGAATGTGACTCATCTACAGGTGACGTCATCATTTTCCTATTAGGTGTATTTATGCATATGGATCCGAACTGCAGGGATTTGTTTTCCCTCCACTGCAGCTTTTTAAACACAGCAAACTGAGCCGGTCAGTTCATCCACTTGGTGTCACTCTGACTGCAGAGCTACACACTGGCAGATGCTTTACTTTCTCAGCTCTGTTGCATCAGGCTTATGGGCTGCTGTCTGAGAGACAGGTCGGGGTCTGGACCTGACGTCAGTCCAGTTCGTTTAAAGAAAAAAAGAACAGGGCAACAAGAGATGGGTTTATTGCTGGGAAGGTGAAAGGAAGTGCACACTTCAGATCTGAAGATGGCCTGCAGTGTCAGTGGTAAGTGCATTTCAGAGAGGCGGTTCCCAACCTTTATTTTACAGCTTTCTGCAATACCAAAAATTACCTAATGGAATCTTACCTGACATAAAAGTGGGTTTTCTTCTTTCGTAAACCGTATATTACATGCATAAGCTCTACAGAGCTTTATTTCACCTGTCGGCTCAGTTTTTTTTTTTCTGTTTTATTTTTCCCAGTCTGCAGCTTTACTGCGTTAGTAAAAACTACGTTACACCAACACATTGAATGTGATCAACAGCCAGTAGTAGTCAGGCTGAAGGAAACATTTAGATCAGCACACTTCTTACGTCCGTTGTTTACTCCACCCACTCCACAGCAGCCTTAGCACTCAGTCTCCACTCTGTTCATTCAAAGATGACCCTCCTTTTCACACAGATCTGTTGGCAGACAGACACTGATGAATCGACAGGCCAACTCTGCTAATCGGTTTTCTCCTTCTTTTTTTTTCTTTTTCCTTTCCCCCCCTTTGTGTTCAAACACACAGACTCACAAGCAGACTCAGATCCCAGCTGCCCCAGTAATGCCAGTTACCTTTCTTATCTCCTCAGAGCTGTTGTCTATGCCGGCAGTAAAGAGATTTTCTGTGTCGTATGCCAGGCATCCGACTAATGGTATGTCTGCCTTTTTTTTCGACACTCCTCCAGTTCTCCTCTTATCTTGCATGACGGTTTTGTGGGAAAACATTTTCTATGTTTTCTGTTTTGGGAGGTGTGACGTGTGGCTACATTACTTACATCATCTCAGATTTTTAGGTTTGTTTTTTTTTGTTTCTCTTCCAGCGCACACCTTCGGTGTTTGGGTTTTGTTTTGTTTTTTACTTATGTTGTCAGCCCTTCACCTCTAACATCACCTGCTCTGCCTGCAAGTGTTTTCATCTCCAATCCTGCTGTTCACAGGATGGTTAGCTATGTGGAATATATCGTGTTCCTTAGATATATCTCCACGGGTAGATAATCAATGCACATAAAAAAAATTACAAAATCCTCACTGGCATATGCACTGTTGATTCTCAAATAATTTATTTGATAAATGTCTGGGTTTTTGCTATAAATGCCAAATAAAACTTTAAATAGGTGTTTCTCTTGTTTTAGTTTAACCCCAGTTTAACCACACACATACTTACAGTGATGTCATAGTGTACTGACCACACACATACTAAATAAAATCTGGACCAACCCATTTTAGGAAGAGCATCTGTTAATCAGGGGGCCTGTGGTTCAATCCCTGGCTCCTCCGGTGTGTAGTAGTTGATGTACACGTTGCTGCTTTACTGTTTCCATTTTTGGGCCTTTTACGGTATTTGGGGTTTTATATGAAAAGCTCAGAGACAGCTGATCACATGTTGGCAGTTTGATTAGTGCTGGCTGTATGTCAGCAGAATTGATGTCAGCTGATCCACAGGCTGGTCTCACATGTTGGTTCAGAGTGGCTGAAGAGTTGGTGGAATTCACAAATCTCAAATGTTGAAACGTGTTTATTTATTTATTTTTTTAAAGACAGCTGGAGCCACAGTCATGGGCCTTTCCCTCCAGTTTGCTCTCTTGCTTCTCTCCTGTAGTCACATTTTGATTTATAATAATAGGCGCTGATGATCCATTTAAAAAGTGACAGTTTTCCTTAGATCCACTAACATTGGTGTGATCTGCTTTGTTACAGGTATTTGCTTTCAATAAATATTATTCTTATATTTTATTTACAATTGTCCAAGTTCAGTTTTGAACAGCCACCTGCTCATCAAGCTGCTGTTTGTTATATATATTATTATTTAACTAAGGACATTCCTCACTTTATCAACGATGAATTATCTGTTGTTATGATGCAAAGCGGAGAAAAGGGCAATCACAGCTGTGGTTTTTTTTTTTCTGAATCATAACCATGTTGATGGGTAAAATATTGTAGATAAAGTAACGTGTGCTTTACACATATTCTCATTTGCTTGGTCACTCAAATGGCACTAGAGGTGAAATTGTTCTCATTTGGTCGTTTTGATGTGAAAGCCAGGTGGGATTAACCAGCCGAGGAGCGATGTCGGGCAAAAACGCTGAAGAATGGGTCAGTAATGAACTTGCATTCATCAGGTTCACACAGACACATGTTTGAGGGTCTGTGGTGTCCTGTTAACTGTTCCATTTGTAAATATGCAAATGTCTGGTCTTTTATTGCAGATTGAAAGCTCATGCTGCTTTCTGATGATGGGATTGAGTGGTGCATACAAACAAGTTAGGAATGAGTCACCATTAGCCGCCTGCCACGCGGTGAACACCGAACCTTTGAACCAACCCCACCCCTGAGTGTTCTGAGCCCTGGGGCAGTTGCCCAATTTGCAGAGCTAGTGATAGAAATCTGTCAGAAAGTCACGCCTTCATGCTACAAATCTAAAATACGACTTCTCTTGTCACATTGCAGTTCTGTTGCCACACATACAGTTTCTTGAAAAATAGCCCTGGGGGTCACTGATGTTTGAGCACTGATTGACTGAAAAAGCCTTTCATTCAGATTACGTGGAGCAGATCTCAGGTGTGTTTTTATTCATTCGTTTCCCCCCCTGACGTCTCTATTTCACCTCAGGCTATCTGCTTTGCATTTGATTTCTTTGAAATGGAAAGGTGGGACTGAGTCTGTTTTTTTTCTGTTTGAGCCGTGAGGTTTTTGTCCGTTGCAGCCTACAATCGATCGAATGCCCTCCGGCCGCACTGCTTTTCAGCTCCTCCCGTTTCTGCTCCCGCTCCGCTGCACTTTCCAGTTCTACTCTTCTCTCCCTGCTCTGCCTCTCATCCCCTCAGAGCCCTCGGACGTGCCTCACGTAACCCAGCTGCTGGAGTGGCTCCCTGCTGAGACAGCCCTGCTGGGGTTTGCCCCTGTGGCTGTGGATGGGGCCATGGCCCACCACCTGCGTCACTGCCCCTACCACTTCCGCCTCTTCAAGACTGAGCTGGTGTCTAGTCAGGAGCTCCCAGAGTCTCACTACGGTCAGCCGCTGCAGTCCCTGAAAATACTTGGTGCTGCCTCCTCTTCCTCACTTTCGTCCTAGCCAGTCGGTGCTGGGAGAAGGGGGATGCTGCCAGTGCCAGTTCAGCTTAGCATCTGTTGTGGCTCATTGCTTTTATTTTTCTTGCAGCCTGTGCGTTCATTTTCCCTCCTAGGTCTGCCTGTTAATGATATCTATAACCCTGCCTCATGCTCCATTTATTGTCCGACTATAAACATTCTCATTTTGCACATCTGCCCAAAGATGCAAACGCTGTATTCCTCTGCTTATTTAAAGACACAGTGAAACTATTAAAGCAACTTAGCTTTCACTCGAGCACTGCGGCTCTCAACGTTTTTTAGGTGTCACCTGACAGAGGTGAACCGGGGGGGGAAATCTAATGGACATCTAAAGGTCATTAAGTTTCCAGCTTCCCAGCTGAATGTCCATGTAATGTCCACTCGTGACATTAGTGGAGGTAATTGCCCAGATAATTCCAGTCAAGCAAGGCTGAGGCATGTGTCCTGAATGCTTCACCCAGACGGAGTATTCTTAGGAGAATAATTAGGCCTGAAGTTTGAGAGGCGTGAGGAAGGACAACTTTCTGACCTGAATCTTGTAACACTGTCTTGGGTTCATCTGTAAAAACAACTATAATTTCCAACTCAACCAGAATGTTGTCCTTTCTTATGAATGGCACAGAAGGAAATGGACGAGCTGCATCCACACGGCTGGGAATACACGGATGGCGTCCCTCTGAATTCTCCACACTGTTAGCTGCTCGGTTTTCACATCATTATAATCCCATATCACACAGCTTTGTACCAGGCATCTGGCGGATTAAGATGCGTTTATGTGACTCAGTTCAAGGGACATTTGAGTTCTCACATCTTTATAAGATGGTTCTGATTTGATGTGAGCACTGAGAAATGCTCATGGACTAAGGAGCTGTAGAGACTGTTAGCATTATTGTAGTTTCATTCTTTCTGCGTCCAAAAAGGGGAGAATACTATGACAAGGAGTGAGAAAAAGGTTCAATCCATATGAAATGTGATGCGTATAGATTTTATTTATTTTGAAAGGACCAATAAGTAACTGAACAATTAGGACCTGATAAGACACTTTGAGTGTATTCTTTAATTTCACTGTGTCTTTAAGTCTTTGCATATGATTGGACATTTATAGCTCACTTGTGGAATTGGTAGAACATAGCAATTCATTTTGAACCATAATCTCAAATTATAACAAATAATACATCTGCAAAAAGGACGACTAATGGATCTACATGCATGCGGTTCAGTCTGGTGAACCAGACTCTTTTATGCGATGGTTAGAGGCCTGCCTAATTGCATTGTGTGCATGTTCCATCCTGAGCAGTGGGTGCAGGAAAAGGAAGCCTTTACAGCTGGGCTTTTGTTCAGGAATGCGGTCTGTGTGGAAATACGTGTCGGATATTGATGGCGCTAATTTGGCCTTTGCACTGGGAAGTAACAACTGAATCTCCACAGTGTCTTCCTCAAAATAACAAAATATCCCTTGGCTGGGTTGGAGATATTTCAGTGTCTGTCTGAAAGATCTGGGTCATCATCTATTGGCTAATTTTAATCGGCTAATTAAGTGGCGGCCTGTCCGTTAACTGTCGATCGCGTAAAGTGTTTGTGGAGCAGGTCCTGGCACATTGTCAGCTTAACACAGCTTGCCTGCACTCAGCAGAGATGACCGTCTGTTATGACTTGTGCCGTCTTTATCTGCATTCGTTCCCTGCCTCGTGTGTTTATGTCTGCCTTTGTGGAGAGTGAATAGTGCAGTGAAGGATCAGTGGGCTTTTTTTCTCTCCTTTCACTGCATCTACTGTGTGAGCTGAATTGTAAAGTCCATGTGAACGCACTGCAGCAGCGATGAGGAGGGAAAGGTGATAAAAGCCAACTAATGTGTTTTTATATAACGCCTGCTCTATTACACAGTACACTAAAGACAGAAGGAGAAATACTGTAGCATGGAACTTGTCTGAACTGGCAAAACATTTCCTCCTGAGGCTTTGTAATATCACTTTAAACGGTAGAATAATTTTTCTGCTGTCATCACATCTTTGGCAGGAAGCTGTTTTCAGATTCCACATTAGTCTTTGTTTTGTCAAATGAATAAAGCTGCTCAAGGCTGTATCGGGTAAGGAAAATATTTTTTGATTAGTCAATGGAAGGCCTGAAGGTCTTTGTCGTATCCTGCCATTCCTGTTCTTCTTCTAAGCTTTAGATTAAAAAGCAGAAGCAACAGGTTGTATAATGTTCTTAACTCTTGAAAGTGCACACAATCCCATGAGAAACATTAACAACAAGCAAGTCAACTAATTATAAATTGATATCTTGGCCCCTTGAGGCCTTGAAAGGTTCCTCTCCATTAAGCATTTTGTTCCGCTTGAATTGAATAAGTTGTTTTAGGTAATAGCCGTGCACACATTCGTGGTTGTTGCACATTATTCATGGTGAAGGCAATGATGACCAGCATGCTGTCTGGGTAGATGGATAAAGGTGGAAGCAGCACTTCAACCTCCATCTATTCCTTACTGTCATAGAGCTTCATGTTCTCTGTTGGGCTACTGTGAATGCTGATGGACTGTTTCCTGCATGTGTGAAAGTCACCTTCTTGCCATTGCACTTTAGTGTTTAAAAGTTGTATTTCACAGGATGTAGATGTTTTGGGGGGG